TCCTAATTTTTGTTTATATGATTTAGTTATATTTAGAAATATCTGAAAATGGAAATTACAACCGTTTGGATTTGAGTCTCTTTTGATTTTGGTAGATAAGATTCAGTAAAATAACTTTGATGTCTTGTAAAGTCTTTGAGATCTTAAACAACTTAAATTGACATAGTCAATACTCATAGCTAAATCTAGTCATAGATCTATTACAATTTAAAAGAATACGGTCTTGCTTTTCAATTAAAAAATCATCAGATGATTCTATAAATAAATCAAAATTTTTAGTTTGCGGATGCCACTGAAAATCATCCATAATTTCCATCAGATTTTATAGTTGCTATCATTGAAAAAAATCTTGCTAGATTATTGTGCGCTATGGTCTGTGCATATAGAATCTGATATATATATATATATATATAACAACATATAACGCTTTATCAAACATGTGTTCTTTTTGTCTTTTTATGATATTTTATCAAACAAGTTTTACGCGGTGCAAGCTCGCAATGAAACAGTGACCAGTAAACGCTTCATCTAAATAAAATAATACAAAAATATAATTTGGAAAAGAAAGTCAAGTCACCGTCAAACCCATCGCGCTCACCGCGTTCACACCTTCACGCGCTTCCTTCCTCTCTGTATCTTCCTCCTCGCAGCCAAAGAAACCATTTTTTTATATATAAATGTCTGAAACCAAGAACCATTAAAACCCAAAATCGTTGTCTTTCAAATTCAAACACTTGGAAGCTTTTAATTGATTTCACATCTAAGCAAGTCAAACACTTTTCAAACCAAATCCGTCAAACAACAAACTTTTTCCCCGCCCTTTAATGGAAATCTCTGCTTTCCCATTTCCATACCTACAAGAAGACGAGTGTTCCCATTTCCTTGGTCTATTTCAAGACATGGACTCTACTCCTTCTGATTTCGGATTCGAAGGTTTTGGTAACGACAGTACAAACCCTAAGAAACGACCAAGAAAGGAAGACGAAGGCGGCGGAGGAGCTGGAGCTGGAGCTGTGAATGGTGGTGATAAAGCTGCGTTTGGAGATATACTCGCGACGCTTTTGCTACTGGACGAAGAAGCGAAACAGCAACAAGTACAGTGGGATTTCGAATCTTGTCAAGAAAAGTCTCTTCTCGAAGCTAATCACAAGAAGAAAGTGGAAACAATGGATGGTTACTACAATCAGTTGCAAGGTCATTACTCTGCCGCCGGTGAAACCGATGGTCCGCGTTCGAAACGCGCACGAAAATCAGCTGTTGCTGCTGCTGCGGTTACTGCGGCGGCGGCTTCCGGCGAAGAAACCGTCGCAGCTCCGGTTCCGGCGACGGATATCCCTAGTAGTTCCGGGCCGAGTCACAGGAGGTTGTGGGTGAAGGAACGGACGACGGATTGGTGGGACCGAGTAAGCCGGCCGGATTTTCCGGAGGAAGAGTTCCGGCGAGAGTTTCGGATGAGCAAAGCCACGTTTAATCTGATATGCGAGGAGCTAGACGCGACGGTGACGAAGAAAAACACGATGCTCCGCGACGCGATTCCAGCTCCTAAACGCGTTGGCGTTTGCGTTTGGCGTTTAGCTACAGGAGCTCCGTTACGCCACGTGTCGGAGCGGTTCGGGCTCGGGATCTCCACCTGCCACAAGCTAGTCATCGAAGTCTGCCGCGCGATCTACGACGTCCTCATGCCCAAGTATCTCCGGTGGCCGTCGGATTCGGAGACTCAATCGACGAAAGAGAGATTCGAATCGATCCACAAAATCCCAAACGTCGTCGGATCGATCTACACCACACACATCCCGATCATCGCTCCGAAAGTCCACGTGGCGGCGTATTTCAACAAGAGGCACACGGAGAGGAACCAGAAGACGTCGTACTCGATCACCGTCCAAGGAGTCGTTAACGCCGACGGGATCTTCACCGACGTGTGTATCGGAAACCCAGGATCTCTCACCGACGATCAGATCCTCGATAAATCGTCGCTTTCCCGGCAACGAGCGGCGCGTGGGATGCTGCGCGACGGCTGGATCGTCGGAAACGCCGGGTTTCCGTTGACCGATTGGCTTCTAGTGCCGTACGCGAGGCAGAATCTGACGTGGACGCAGCACGGATTCAACGAGAACATCGGCGAGATTCAAAAGATCGCGACGGCGGCGTTTGAGCGGCTTAAAGGACGGTGGGCTTGTCTGCAGAAGCGGACGGAGGTGAAGCTTCAGGATCTTCCGTACGTGCTTGGTGCTTGCTGTGTGCTGCATAACATCTGTGAGATGAGGAACGAGGAGATGGCGCCGGAGCTGAAGTTCGAGGTCTTCGATGATGTTACGGTGCCGGAGAATAATCTCCGATCTGCAACTGCAGCTAACAAGAGGGATCAGATCTCTCACAATCTCTTGCATCGTGGCCTCGCCGGCACAAGGACTCTATAGTTATGGACTCTGTTTTTTTTCTTTTCATTAAACTGATTTTTTATTGCAAATTCTTTTTCCAGATTAGGAATAAAAAAGAGGGTATTTTTAGGGATTGGATACAAAAGCATAGTTGGAGATGAGTGTTAGAATTGGCTGATTTTTTTTGTTGTAATCATTAGAACTGTGTAATCTTTAGTTCATGTATTTTATACACAGATTGAATTTGAAACCCTTTGTTCTTTCAAATATTTCACACGAATAGGAAGAACAAAAATGGTTCCACTTTAGTCAAAG